ATTATAGATCAGTAATTGAAATCAGAAATCTCGAATACTTGAAACCACATATACCACATACAAGCTCATCAGCAACCGATAGAATCATGGCAGCAGTTCCCTATTGAATATCATAATTTATCGAACACTTCTCACCCTCACAAAAACCCATGAAATACGTTAAAGATTATATCTATATTGTCTTTTAAAAACTTATGATTACTCAATAATTATTTACCGGATTCAAGCTGATAAGAAACCTATAATTTTAGAACCGTGTTTTCATATTTGAGCTCATAAACCTAGAAACTAGTTGACTTATAAACACTCATTGGACACATTTCAGATTAGGCATTCATTGTCTAATTGAAACTCGTAAATTCTCAGTTATTCTGAGTCACATGAATGCTAATAGAAATCGCATTAAATTAGATAAGGAATTCCTTAGTGAAACTCTAAAATCCTGATATATTTTTTTCCTGACGATACCCAATAGAATTCTATTTGTAAATACCTACACATTTCTCATATATACTAAGGCGCATGAATGTGCATAGAATACTTTTCCAATTGGAAGTGGAATATCTTATTGGTGGTCATAGGCTCCTCAAACCACTTGTGCCTGATAAAAACTCTCATACTCCATATTTGTATACGCTTATAAATCACATATACTCATGAAATATCATGAAACCTTCTAGAAAGTTCATGTGCCAGAGATAATGTACTCATACGCTACAGAACTCGGTTATATATCCTTATTAATACTCATATTTTATCTATATTTCTTCATGAGACTTCATAAGGTATTTTCGGCAGGGTAGTAAGGACAAATCAGATGATTTGCCCCAAAATGTCACTGCGTTTAAAGAATTTTCCTATCAGAGAGCCTAAAAGAAAAAATTCACTAGCTTGTCAGTGACAATTTGTATTGAGAAGGGAAATAAAGGTATATAGAAAAAATATCAAATTTTCACTTATCTTTGGACGTTTCGGGACCGGTTCTGCTCCCGTTTTCAACATAAGAAGAGATTATTTCGATAGCGAAGTCGTATAATGTCTTGAAGCTTTTCAGTTTTCAATGACAATTGGTGACGTTGGCAATCAAATGAGTTACAGGATGTTTTCATTAATTGATCTTGAATTTACCATTTTCATGTTCAGATTTTAGTAGTGAATACCATGTTCTGTCTATATCAACTGAACAAGAAGCAATGTTATTGTCTCCGTTCAGAAGAATGCAAGCAGATTCCTTGATTTTTCTCTTCTGGTTGTTATCTTCTTTTCCAATAATTTTAATATTATTCCACTCTGACAAGCTAGTGAATTTTTTCTTTTAGGCTCTCTGATAGGAAAATTCTTTAAACGCAGTGACATTTTGGGGCAAATCATCTGATTTGTCCTTACTACACGTATATTGAAATAATATTCATATTTTTATTTTATAGAAACGAGGAGAGAAAATCCCAAAAAATTTGGAATAATGAATATACCACCTCCTCGATTAACCTACAGACAGTATTTACTCGAAACCTGTTGCATATAGCCAAAAACGTGTCGAATAATTTCTGTTCATCAATGAGTTGGCTTTCGAACGGTATATATAACGTTTATTTTATAACAAACAGTTACTGAAAATGTGTCAAAACAATGTAGCATTGCACAGTTATGGCAAGAATGTAATTTATATAGGTAATATGTATATGTATAAGTAGCGAATGTATTTATTGTAATTTTTTATGTATATCAAATAAATTGTAGCATGTTCATTGCAATTGAAACTCTTTTCCGTTTCAAAATCAGTGGTAGGATTCATTTTTAATTCAATATGCAAATTTAGTACATATATTGTGAAATAAACTGGTGTACAAAGAAAATAATGAGGTGCAATAATATTTAATGGGGTTGGAAAACTAAAAATTCCACTTGTGATTACCGATCACTGTCGGAGCACTGTCCTTCACATACACAAAATTTTGTACATCGTATTTCCATTCCATTCCATTCCTAATGGCGTCAAAATGACGACATCCTAAAGGCGTCAAAATGACGTGATCTTTACGATTACTTATATCACTGAAATCTTCTGCATGTTTCAGTTTATTTTGTGCTATTTCGAAATTTTCTGTAGGTAAAAAAACACTGTTGTATTAGGGTTGTATCAATATCATCAGAAAAGATAAGATTTTTTTTGTATAATTATATTGATGTTCCTTTACCACATTGAATACAAAATAATATTATAGGTAGGTACTATAATTACCAGTTTCATAAAATGTTCTTTTTATTGGGAACTTATCCCATTCGGATGATGCACTCGAGAGATTTCTCAGAGCCCTATGGTATTCCTTCAATGGCGTCCAATTCACATTCTGCTTTTTCGGCATACACCACTTGTCTAAAATCATGACCATGCTGCCATCCTCAAATTCTACTACTTGATACATGAATATGAATAAGTATGACCACCACACCACACCACATAGATAGCCCAATAACATGATAATGATGGCCTTCTATGTATTGTTATTTTGTTGTTATGGTCATCATGGATGGCCGCAACGGCGAAGCGAATGTGAACGGCTTGGCGTTGGCGCTGGCGGCACTAGAGTCTCGAGATCATACCCGTGTGTTCACCGAACACGCCCGATCGTTCCCTAAGCGGTGGGGAAACGTAAACGGGCAGCAGTAACTACGTTATGAATATTGGCGCGTGCCGGAATTATTTTGGAGTCAAATTTGTCAATTTAATGTACTTCGAAACGGAACACTAGTAGTTGTGCCTTCTTGTTTTACATATATTATAGGTAGACATCAAATCAATAAACATAGTGCTCTCGCCATCGGTATTTGCTGAACTTCGCTATGGAAAAAATGTTGGGATGAAGAATGATCTATACAGGGTGTATCTAAATAACACCGAAATAATTCAAGGGATGATTCTTTGTGATATAATATGATGAATAAAGGTCATATAAACATGTGTCCTAAACTTGCTTCGTTTTCGAGGTACAGGGTTACGTCCTGATTTCGAATCCGAAGTGATTTTTAACCTATCTTGCCTCCTAATATCATTTTCCGGAAATGTTGGTGCGTCCATGACCAGAGCAGTGTTTTTCACTGAAGATTACCTCACTTTGGTCATAGTTGGTATATATATCTATCGCTCCTTAAAATTGAACAGGTACATTAGATATACGGGTTGATATTCCATTATAGAAGTGACATGCACACTGTTTATATTTTTAAATACATCCAGTGGGATTGAATTTTATTTTATGTTGAATATTAGAGTGTGTTTTTTTATGTGATATATTTGTTTTGTTTATTTCAAATATATATATTTTTTTATAGTAGGCATACTAGTACTTCTTTTATATAATTCTGAAATCTGATCCACCCTGTATTTGTTTCAATTAAATGGCATCAGTAGATAGTAAATAGAATGTTAGGATAGGGACACATGTAAGCCATTTTGACAAATCAATATAGGTATTGTATATAGTTTCGATACAAAAAAAATCTCGATTTTTCACATTCTACGTATAGGTATACCTTGAGCTTGATCAACGAAATCATAGCTCAATTAGAAGAATGGAAAAATGTAATAAAATATAAGGTGTCCATTTTGAATAACAAAGCTGCCACTACTATACTACTAAGTACTACATAACTACTAATAATAATTTCTAGTGAAGCAGATGAATATTATCGAAAATAATTTGAATAAAACGAGCGTCCTCGCCAACAAAACATAAGCATATAATATGTACATATAGTTTCATGATTTTCGATGAGTGGTTCGCTATTTACATGTAGGACTCGTCGTGACATAGCGAATTATTGCAAATCAAATCATCGCTTTCATTATCTGATAGGTCGCAGTAGATCACTTGATGCCTATCAAATGTTTCTGATTTATTCGAAAAAAAAAAAAAAATGTTGAAATGTGATCAAGAAAACTGTTGGTGGCCCACCCCGTACTACAAAAACAAGACAGCATGAAAGAAGCTGCCTGCCCACTCATTGTATCATGACTGCCTGCTTACGTCTCGGTCTCCCCACCGCTTAGGTAACGATCGAGCGTGTTCGGTGAACACACGGGTATGATCTCGAGACTCTTGTGCTGGCGGCTGGCGGTCGACGTTCGCATGTCTGCGCAAGGTCCGTGCCGACCAATCAAGTACAGTTCTCTACGCACTCTCCCGCTCTGATTTGAATTCGCATTCCGGAATAATTACAACGTTATAAGCTTTTTATTACGTGAAATTCGGTCTCATATTTTTAATAGCTATAGGGAGAATACTTTGCACAGAAGGTATATAATTAACAATTATCTCAGAGACCATCGAAAACACACATCTCGCACAGATTAGAGGAAAAATTATTATGAAGCATAATATATGATGAGTGACATAATAATATTAATTAATACTAACGTTTTTATATAACAGAGATGGGAAACTTCTTGATTATGAATTTTCCTTGATGTAGATGACTCAATAAATAATGGTCATAATTAGTCATGAAAATGACCATCAGATGACGTCATATTGACGACACATTTGAGGTCATATGACGTCAATGACCAGAAATGACCATATATTGACGTACAAATGACGTCAGCTTGTTACCTGGGATATTGCGGATTTCTTGAAATTAATTTTCCATTCTGGACGTTATTATCTTCAAAGGATCATTCGGAAAATTGAATAACTTGAATCATTTTTCTAATGAATTATCGCAATAATGTACGCAGCAGGATATTGAAATGATATAAAATGAAAAATTTTGGCGGTCATAAAATTTCAAAGTGACAGTGACAGAAATTCGAAATAATTTAAAAAAGCGGGCGAGACGACTATGGTGTTTCGTCACATTGTCAGGTGGGCAAACCAAATGGAACAAAATAATAAAAACCCCAACGGCTGTCAGTTTTGTGACCGGTCTAATTAAAATTACTTAATTTTTTGGCTGTCCCACTTCATCTGGTGAGTAGTTTATTTCGTTTTCCTTTTCAGGACTCCAGAGAGAATATTTTGAAATATGACTTATTATTCGACGAGACTCATCATCGTGTAGACCCATTCGTCGACATGGTTTTGTGCAGGGATCTCGGAAATAGCATAAGCATACATGCAAAAGACCTATGCAAACAGGAATCCGTCTTGACATTTGAAATTTGCGAAGCTTGCAGCATCAATGGCCGACCACTCATTGTCTATGCTTATAAACATTATTACTTATTGGGTATGGAGATCAATAAGGCAACCGAGCAAGACGGTGCAAGAAGAAACAAGTTTTATAGACAGTTTTTAGATCTTAGAGATATGAAGTTCATGACATGGTTGATAGGACAAACTAAAATTAAATTAGAACATAATATATTGAATCTTCCGGAAAAAACATCAGAAATTCGTTTTATGACACAAACACGAATGGGATACTTTATTATTCATCGAAAAATTATCAATTCATTCTATAACATGACAAATCTGAACGATACAGAAATCTAATTCAATCAGTATTTGGTTAAATTAAAATGGAATTGAATTATTGAAATATACTAAGGAGAATGTTGAATGCATTTTTATTTCAATTCGAAAGTTCTGAAACTGCTGTCAACTTTTCATTCCGTCTTCTCATACGGATTGACAGGAAGACGATTGTGGTGGGAGTGTATGGAATGGCAGAAATGGCGGTATTTCAGATACTATAACCTCAAATCTGACTTTGATGCCTAAAAGTGAAGTCGCCCCAGGAAATATTTTGAAATTGTTCGCAATTTTACCCAGAATACCCTCAAACACTTCTGGACTCCTGAAATGACTTTTGAATGTTGATAAATCCATTTGCGGTATTACTCCTTTATCATAATTTTGAATTTTTGGTATGATATTGCTAGGAAATCTGAAAGTATTAACATGAATTTAGTCAATAATTCCTGTAGATAACATCAGAAGACTCATACAAGTATGAAATCCTTTCAAGTATCGAGGGGTCAATGTCATTGATATATATCAATGAATTTTGCCTTCTAACCGATGAGTATACACGAGTTATTAGCAAATAATTTATTTCCTATTGAAAAATCTGCTATATTCTAAACAGATTAACTTTTAATTAATTAATTTACTTCCATCGTGATATCTGTAGAAAAAATGGTACGTCAACTCTGCTGGTTGCTAGGTAACCATCATATCTAGGTAGTTTTATATTTGCGCATTGAACATTTATTTAAGAATATCTTATTCTACCGCGGAAGCTTATGATGACGGTTTATTACCGATGTTTTGACAATTTTGCTATGGCAGAACGAGTATTACGCAGCTTACTATCCTATTTCATTTCAGTGGGGAGGTATTTTCCCAATTAAGTAGACAAATTCATTCATCCTTTTCCACCACCCATTAGAAATAAAAGCTAACTCTTCTGATTTTAACATGTAATTTGACACCTTTTAGGACTAACAAAAGTTTTAAAACGTCTAAATTTACGTTTCCAGTTGCGTTAAGTGAAAAGGCACATAACTGGTGATGAAATAATGTTCATTTATACACCAGATACGTAATAAAAATATGAATGGACGAAGAGAAAAGTGCATTTTGTTCTGTTTCCTCGGTATCACTTGGAAAATCTGAACTTGGATCAGCCATTTTCCACTAATGACAATATCAAACGACTCTTCTTCGTGAATTTCGTCGCTGATTTTTTACCTCATTATCGTTTGACGGATACTTCAAAGTGACGGGCAAAGTCAACTTGACTACTAAATTTTGTACATAATCGGTAGTATGGATGTACAACTGGTAATTACCAAGCGAAATTTTTCATAGAAATTGAAAATTTATCTTACGTAACATGTCACACAAAATGACGCGTTTTCTAACTAGTTACCTAAATATCTGTCCAGGAAAAACCGGAATTTTGTTTCTGAATATTATTGAACTGATTTATTTGATTTTGGTCTTTTTTGGAAGATAATAATTGATCCTTGCGGAACACCAGCATTTATGATAAGAGAGTCAGATGAAACTCCGTCAACCACTACATGGAGAGACCTGTTTGAGAGAAAAATAACTAGCAGAGAACATAGCTGGGGAAACAATCCATAAGATGGAAGCTTGGCGAGGAGTTCGTGGTGCCAGACTCGATCGAATGCCTTCGAGATATCAAGTGCCACGGCTAAGGTTTCACCATATTTTTCAATAGATTGCTGCCATATAATATGTGAGACATGAGCGAGCAGGTCACCGGTTGATCTCTGATGACGGATAATACCTGGTGTTCCAGGTACCGGGTGACCAGTTATATTCTGACCCATTTCAAATGCTCATATCTCTGAAACCATTTAAGTTAGCGTTGTGCGGTTTGGACTAGTCTATTTTGATGTTTCTCAAGTTCTTTTTTGACGTGTTCATCTTCTCGCACTTGAACTTCTGGTTCTACCGGAAACAAACAAGCAATAATCCAGGTATATGGCACCTTTTTTATTTCATTGTATCACCCTGTATATTTTTGCACATTCAGAAAGACTGGTATTGTCTCTATCTAACAAAGTATTACAAGTAATGTTCTCCTAGAAAACTATTAGAGTTATAACTCTTTGAAACAACTACTGCTTGTGGAATGGTTTAATGAGATTTTGCAATGTTATCAAAGTTGCGCTATACCTGGATAATGGCTTGTTTGTTTCCGGTAGAACCGGAAGTTCAGGTGAAAAGGTGAACCAGTCAAAAAACTTGAAGAATATCAAAATAGAGAAGTCCAAACCGCACAACGATAATTTGAATAGTGAATGAGCAGTTGAAATGGGTCAGAATATAACTGGTCACCCGGTATTTCATGAGCTCGATGTTGATAGCTTTCTCCATGATCTTTGAAATAATAAATAGCAGTGCGATCAGTCTGAAGTTGCTAGGTAGGGTCTTTTTGCCTTTTTTAGGAACTGGTTGTACTCTTGCAATTTTCCAGTTGAGCGGGAATATCCCCAATTTGTAAGAGTAGTTGAGCAACTTGCAGAGAACAGGTGTTAGTTCGGGAGCACATTCCTTGAGGAAAATCGGTGGTTGGTGTTGGGACCCAATAAAATCCTCCTTATCGTACGTTGGCGAAAGATGATCTCGGGCATATTACTGTCAATTTATTCAGAATTTGAGAAAAAAACGATAGTGCGGAACCAGTATCTTTATAAGAATGATATTCTGAAGCTTCAAACTCTCTTTTGAGTCTGTTCAAAATATCTCTGGAAGTCCTCTGTGGAGGAATGGTGAATATTTTCCATCATAGCATTCGTAGCTAGATTTTCGATATGTTTTGTCCCTTGTACCTACATGAATTTCAATGAATTGTGTATCTGAATATAATGACAAAGTATCCCCAACATAATCCTCCATTTTTCGGATTATCTGACAAAAGTTCGAGAATTATCAGATTAGGCACAATATTTTCAGCAACTTTACCAAGGAACTCCTTCACCACTGCTTCCTGAAGATGAAGAACTACTACTATCAAATGAATGTACTAACTCCATAGTATTGCGAAAATAGTGAAAAGAGCAATAAACAGTTGAATAAACAAAAATATATCATTATGACGCCAATAATAATTCTAGAACGGTTCATGCTCGAGAGCAGGTACTGGATTCGGATAGTTCTAGGACCGTCACAGGACGATTGAGGAAAAATCCTAACGCGTGAAGAGTCAGTCCTAGAATAGTTCCACAAAACCCGAACGCGACCGATTCTACTGCGCAAACTCCTGACAGTTCTAGAACCGTAATAGTTCGAACCCGAATGAACCTTAGTCCAATAAATGAAGGAGGAAAAAAAGGCAAAGTTATCGTTAATTACGCACTATTTTCATCTTCTGGTTGGAAGTAGCTTTTGGTACCTCATTAAACATGAGACAAAGTTTGACTGGAAAACGCGTGCGATGGCGGAGAACATGGCCCCAAAAGACCAGGAAAATAGGTTTTCAGCCAATATCTCCTAAAATATGGCAGTTTGAGATTTTCGGTTCAGATAAAAATTGAAGTACAGTTAATTTTCTACAAAAATGGTCCCTATCATTTTTCTCGAAAATTTGCCCGGTTTCGAGAAAAACGGCACGAAGCGCACCTCGAATAATGAGCTTCTGTTGTATGCCGGAGAGCACAGTCCGTGTATTTACACATCGGCGGGGGGACAAATTAATCAATAACTTTGTTAAAAATGCATATTTTCTCATGATTCAAAGTTCATATGAAATAGGAATTCTGCTGCTATCATACCCTGTGAATTGAGTCACGCTTGACTCTTTTGGCCATATCGGAACATGGGTCAAACTTTCTGCTCCCGGTCAATTTTGACCTCGCCAGGAATTTGTTCTAATTTTTTTTGTATTGCACTAATTTACTCAAAATTTTCTTGATTATGGGTCCTCATTAGGTCCTTCGTCATCCCTGGAATTTGTATACCCTAATTTTTTTTTAATTTTCATTTATTCTTTGTTTATTGAATCCCAATTTTTTGTTGTTTTTGGAGCGCGGGGAAATTTTGTGAACAACCATCAATTGAAATTTATACATGATCCGATTGGTTTCTATGATACATCATTTGAAAGCTAAGAAGGTCTACTTTTTGATTGTGCAATTACTTTTTCAGACGAAGTCGTCCATTTTTCAATAAAATTAGAAAAAGCGGGGTCAAGGAAAAAACGCACTTTTTTTGTTTTTTTTTCTCCGTGCTGTTTATTTCTAACATTCTAACACCTTAACTAGTGTAACGGGGGAATTCCCACCTTTCTATCGATGTATATAAGTCATACCTTTGATACCCCGGGAAAAAACCCAGCATATCTAAATGTACACGCTATAATTTATTACTTTCGTTCCTCCGTTGTTCGCCGCGTGTGTGCTCTACGTGGCGCTCGGGTCGTCTGCTACAAACCATGCGGCCACGCTTGGAGGCATAACTGTGTTTGTTTTCTGTCATTGTTTTGATAAATATAATTGTCAATTATAGAAAAAAAAGTGATAAAAGTGAAGAATATTGAACAAATATTCACGTTTTTCGTTAAAATTAACTTTTATCACCAACCCAAAACATATAGAAAGTGAAGAATCAAATTTTGTAAAATTGGAGCAAAAGGTGAGAATTTGTTCATGTTGTTTTTATTCGAGAACATTTGTTTACAAGCAACTATTTTAGTCTATAATACATTCTTCATCTGAGGAATGTAATATGTACAGGAGCCTTATTTTTTAAAGTTCACTGAGAGAACTGTGGGGTGATTATCTCCATGGATCACGAGAGACGGATAGAAACATGAGGGGAATGATAGAACGTCCCCCTTCCTTCCACAAAGTTGAAAATCGACTCACCTAGTAGATTTTCTCATACCTGCTCGAACAGCAAAACTCCCGAGAGCAAACAAATACTAATATCGAGTCCATTCCAGACTAATATCGTCCTGTGTTCTTGTTGGTTCATATTCGCACTTAAACCATCGAAAACGACTCGACGACGACATATCCTTCCTGGCAATCTCACATTGAAAATCACGACCCTATCACGATTATCACGACACAACATCCAATTATT